GCATTTATATTATGGGCACAATTTTATAAAACACCAAATATAGTAAAAAATTTATATATAATGGCATTTTATAAACAAGGATACCCTAAGTCACTGTGGTAGGCAAGGAGTGTGACAAATTCCTTTAACACTACACATTTTAAGATCTACTTCTAAGAAGTAAAAATAAGAAAAATGTTTAGTGTTACCATAGCCAAAATGTATGGAAAGTAGTTATGGAAGGCATAAGTACTAGGTATGGTATTTATTAGTTTTTTGAGATTTAGCATTTACAAAATGTCATGAATACATGGAGAGACTGACAACCTAAATCTAGTATAAATATAAATAAATAATAATGTGTTTGTAAAGTATTAATTATATGATTTGAAGACTAAAGTAGAAAGTGCGAGAAAATATACTTACAGCTATGTGTTCTGTCCGTAGCTGGTCACTTGTCCACCAATCAAATAGGCGAGATAAAATGTGAAATATGCATATACTACTGATTTTAATTTCAAGTACAAAAAGAGAAAAATAACTAGTTGTTTGATACCCTTGAATATTACAGCAATGTTTATATGACATAATTTATGGTAAAGTGAACAAGTGGATAGGAATGAATTTTTTTTAGATTTTTTAAGTTTTTTAGTGCTTGCCTATAATACAAAACATTGACAGTTAAGGGCCATAATTCAAATAAAATCTTTGACAGAATTACCTTCTCCTGGACATGTTTGGGAATCATGATTGTAAACAAGTATTCCAACTTTCAAATTAATATCTCAAACAGTTCAGTCAAAAAGTGGACTGGTACTAAAAACTTAACCAAGATTCTAAGTCGATAAAAGGCCTTAATTTTTAAAAACAAATCCTTGACAGAGTTACCTTCTCTTGCGTACAGATGGGGGTAATGATGTGAAATAGCATTAAAAGTTTCAAAGCAATATCTCAAAGGGTTAAGGCAATAAGTGGATTTTACCCATATTCAATGTATTTTCTAAGTCAAAAAGGGGCATAATTCTGTCAAAAACCTTGACAGAGTTATGTCCTCTTGTCTGTTGATGAAGGTCGTGATGGTAAACAAGTATGGTCAGTTTCAAAGCAATACCTCCAATGGTTTTGAAATAAAGTGAGGTGGTACAAAAAACTTAACCAAGCTCAATACACTTTCTAAGTCAAAAAAGGGCCATAATTCTGTCAAAAACCTTGACAGAGTTATGTACTCTTGTCTGTAGATGGAGGTTATGATGGTGAACAAGTATGGTAAGTTTCAAAGCCATACTTGTAATACTTCTGAAATAAAGTGGGGTGGTACGAAAAACTTAACCAAGGTGTGACGCCAACGCTAACGCTAACTCCAACGCCGACGCCGACGCCGACGCCGGGGCGAGTAGGATAGCTCCCCTTTTCATAGAAAAGTCGAGCTAAAAATGACAACGAATGGACAACACAGGGCAAAAATTTGTCGCATGCTATAATATTCTATACATGTATTAAGCTCAGATAGATGATGCCTTAATGCTGTATGTTCAAGAATTGTTTCGGCTTCAAAACAAATGTGTTGTTATTTTTATTATCACTTTAAGAAACAAATTAGAAACAAGTCCTAGTACACATTCTTAATCCTTTAAGTTTAGATAACATGTAGAGATGGTTTTAAAGTAACAGACTTTTTTGCACTTTTATTTCGCGTAACTTTTTCGAGTTCAGCGCCGGTATATCAAAAGCCGTCACATACACCAGTAGTTTTATTGCAATGTTGGGTGCTTTCACAACAAGTATATGAACTATATGGACTATATTCACAACAATCTTCGCCTTCCGGGCATGGTTCACTTCCACAGGTCAAAGATTGTGGTGGTGGGAAGTACGGGTCGTAATTACAAAACTTTCCGCTACAATCCGTTCCGGGTTTTATAGCAGAAACGAAAAGGTCCAATACTGAGGTCTGCTGCATTGGCGCACCATATGTAAACGGCCCCCGCCAATTTGGAGAAAACACAGGTCCAGATTTGTTGTAATACGGCGGCCCGTCTTTATACGATATGTTACATTTCGTAATTGGTTCCATATCACAGATATTATTCCTCAAATTTGATTCTACTTGAAGATTAAGCCAGCTTTGCAGGTACTCGCGCCTTATGCTGTCAGTTAATTCGTTAATTAAAACCCTCACGTTCCGGGCGAACAATCCTTTGAACATTAACGCGTCGTCATCGCAATTCGGTTCACAGAACTCAACCAAAATACCGTCTGCATTACTGGCATGTTCTATTAAACCATTTGTAACTTTAAATGCAAGATCAAGGAAAATGCTATTTTTAGAACATCTGTACATTTCAACTAAAGCTCCTGTCATCACGCCACTGTTATAGCTCCGCCCATAAAATCCATTCGGTGTGCAGTTGGAATTCGCTCCGTCGGCCACAAGGTAAGTTGTTTCATTTATTAAAGTGTTATTCATAACAAATGCGTAAATTTGATTCATTTTTGTCAGGTATTCTTTCTTTTTTGTCAGGCGATACATTCTCCCGGACAATTGTATCATTTGAGCATTCGTAATGGTTTGCTTGGAAACAAATGTGTTATCGAACCACAATCCCCCACCACATGCACCGCTCTGATCCCAACCGGTCTTCCAGATCCAATCATAGATGTCCGTCGCATCTTGAAGGAACGTGTCGAACCCGAGAATCTCGTGGATTCTCGTGTACGATAAACCATACCAACTCATGTCGTCAAAAGAAGGATAAGGTCCATATGCCTCTAGCAAGCTGTAGAGCCCGCGTTCGCTACTTTTTAAAACATTAGAATATCTTGTATGAGTTTTATTTGTATAGGCAACAAAGTTTGTAAACGTTTCCAACACAGCGCCATTCTGCCAGAAACCATCATATCCATTCCATATCTAAATGAATAAAAGCACATAAAATCATTCCTAGAAATCGTATAAAAACGTGACACTAATTTTAACGCAGACGTTTTTGTAAAGATATATTGGAAACATGAGCTAATTATTTAATAAACAACACAATTTCGAGCAACACACTAATAATTTAATTTGAAATTTCAAAGAAGTTCAATTTAAGGCGAAAAGAGCTTATTTTCTCTTTATGTACATTTTAAATATTTTCATTTAAATAATCTTCATTTTTCTGTTATTGTTATTGTTGTTGTTAAACTGTATTTTAAAAATCAAAGATATTCCGGAAATGTTCGAACTTATGACTCGATCCATACCTGGTAACTGAAGAGTCCAGCTATAGGTGAAGGGAACCAGTTTGCCTGATGGGCGAACTGGATCTTACAAGCCCAGAACGCAGCACTGTCGTTTCCGTACATTTCCATCGTACAGACGGACGATGCAGTGTCTCCTTTAGTCCCCCATAGAATGTATATTCCACACACGAATAACACAAAACATGCTTTAACAGTCATCGTCATTCATTAAGATTTAAATTTAACTAAAATTTGAGAAGATTTTGTCAATACTGTTGAAAATGTTTTTGATTTTCTTACAATTGAACCACTTCACTCTTAAAGTTTTAAACCCAAACAATATTAACAACATAAAAGATTTAAATTTTAACTACATACTGTTATCATAGTTCATATATATGTATAGAGAGGCAAAGTTCAACGTGTCTGTCCGTACGATTTATTATCGATATATGTATGTGATCTAAATAAAGGACACTTGTAATATATGATGTCCTGTTATCACATTCATATGACGCCTATCTTGGGGTTGTTGTTTTTTCAGTATTTTAATTATCTAAACAAAACAAAAACTATTTTCTACTTAAGAGTGTCTTTTTGAAGCCAAATGTTGTTTGTTTTGTGTTTCATGCTGTAAGTCACTGTAATGTGTTATTTGTTTGTTAGTATGTTGTTTATCGCTGTGTTGTTTGTTTGCTGTTATGTTCTGTTTATTAGTCTGTTGCTTGGTATTGTGTTGTTTATTAGTGTGTTGCTTGGAATTGTGGTGTTTATTAGTGTATTGTTTATAATTGTGTTGTTTATAAGTGTGTTGCTTGAAATTGTGGTGTTTATTAGTGTGTACTCGAAATTGTGTTGTTTATTAACGTGTTGCTTGGAGTTGTGTTGATTATCAGTGTGTTGTTTGAAAGTGTGTTGTTTATGATGAAAATGTGTTGTTTATGAGTGTGTTACTCGAAATTGTGTTGTTTATTACTGTGTTGCTTGGAGTTGTGTTGATTATCAGTGTGTTGTTTGAAAGTGTGTTGTTTATGAGTGTGCTACTCGAAATTGTGTTGTCTATTAATGTGTTGCTTGAAGTTGTGTTTATTATCAGTGTGTTGTTTGAAAGTATGTTGTTTATTATTGTGTTGTTTGAATGGTGTTGTTTATTAGTGTTCTGTTTAAAGTTTGTTGTTTATTAATGTGTCGTTTGAAAGTGGGTTGTTTAAGGTACTTATTAGTACTTATTGGTGTACATTCGCAGATATTATTTGGAGACAAAAATTAATATACTACTTTAAAGTTAAAACCCGCATTCAATTCAACATACATGCATAAATGTGAGTACGTTGTACTAAATGGCATTAAATAGAAATGTTGGCCATCATTTGTACGAAATATTATCATACATGTATTTGTGCTATAATATAGCAAATACAATAATAATGAATTTATATGAATCATCTGTTTATCACGAGAAATATCACAACAATGTTTCGCTTACTCATACATAAACGAGAGTATTTGTGAGATTTCGGACATTTTGCTGAAGGTCGCCTATTTCCACATTGACTATCATTATATGATTGCGTCGCGTAGCTCTGTCAAGGTTCAATTATTGACAATTCCTCGTCTCTCCAGACGCTACTTAATCAGACATACATTACTATGTGTGCAATCCCTGATTGATGCCAGTCTACAATACCGACAATCTACATATTTAATTGGTCTCACTATCACCGGAAAAATCGTAGACAATACACGAAACCATTTACCAGAAAATGTCTACAATGGTGGAGAGGCCTTGTCGGGATGATTCTGTGATTGAACAAGTAGACAAAGCTTTTAGACAATCATAGGGACGTTAATGCACTTATTCTGATTGACTAGCAAAGACTGGTTTTTGTAAAATACACTACAACAAGTCTGGTTCCCAGATTGTTGTTATACAAAAGTAGATATATTCTAGCTGATAAGAACATGTTATAAGACTTTTAAAAGTACGTCTGTCTGATATATTCATTAGTGAGGAGGGAAAATATGAATAAAATAAGTAAAGACAACGTTTAATAGTACAAAACTATAGCAAGTTTAGATGTTATGTTTTGTAATACCTTGTGCCACTGTTTTTTTTTGTAATCTTGGTTATTTTTATATAACAAAATATATAGCACTGTTTCCTCAAATCAATGTTAAACTTTAGTTATCAGTTATTAAAATCAGTGATACCTGTTGAACAGACAGACAGTTCTTTTTGTAATTCAAATTCATAATTTGGACGTTTTATCATTGATCAGTTGTGTGTGTAAACTTATTTGTAAAATACGCATCTGCTATATCTACAGGAATTTAGACAAACTGAAGCTACCGGAGTGTCACTTAAACTATATCAGTCTTACTAAAGGCAACTGAATCCGACTGAAGCCATTTGAGCCTAACTAAAGGTATGTTAGTCTTACTGGGATGCGAGTCTTAGTAAGGCCATACAAGTCTAAAATTAAATGTATATCACTCTTACAAATGGCAGTCCAGTCTTACTAATGGCATAACAGTCTTACTAAATGCATGTAAGTCTTATTATAGGTACATGTATGAAGTCTACTTAAAGACATTTAAGTCTTACTAAGTTTTACGTCTTACTGAAGGTACATACAAGTAAGTCTTACTAAAGGTATTTGAGTCTTATTAATTACATGCAAGTCCTATACTAGAGGCACGGTAGTCTTACTTAACTTAGCTGACTTAAGATATATAAGTCTTACATAAGAGATGTAAGTCTTATTAAAACTCTTAATGAATGTGAGTCTTTCTTTCAGGAATACCACTCTCACTACATGTATATTCATTTATGGATTTATCAGTATTCATCCTGTGCCATCTTTGTTGTACTTGAGACATATCATCATATAAACTTCCTATGATAAGCATTAGACCTTTTTGGAAACGAAGAATCCTTCCTTTTCAGATTTGGTGGTCTTCATCTTTGCTTTGAACTTCAAACACTTATCGTTGAAAGTGGATGAAAACAAGTCATTCTATAAATCTTTAGAAATATGTGACCGTGCAATTAAAATCAAATTATCCTCATAGACGGATGTATTCAGTGCAAAATGTTACCCGAGTCCTCAGCGTTGGTGGTCACTTCTTTATCATTGTTACATGAAAAAAGTCCATCCTCCAAGGGTCATTGATGGTCAGTTTTGTGGACATATTGACGTTGCACCTGCAGGGAATCACACTTCAAACCACTTCGCTGCAGCCGAAAAGTATTCATTAGATTAGAATGAGTGCGCAGTGGTTTATTTCGCATTGTTAAATTTATCACGGTCGCTTTGATCTGAATTCGAAACTAATGACCTGAATTCGAATTCAAAGCTATGAATTATGCAACGCCCCCTACAAAAACCAGACTAATGATGTGGCGGTCAATAAATTAAACAGCGGTGTTCCCAGACATTTTACTCTTGAAAAACACATCAACGCCTTTTAATCATGACTGTACAGATTTTAATAACAAGTTAAAATATATTTGTCACATTTGAACGCTGTGGTTAAACGCCGTGCATGTTCTTCTCAAACGGTTCCGGACAGTGTGAAAATTGATGACTTTTGACCACAATATTTGATTACGAAACGAAAACTTGTGAATCATATCGTCGTGGGTGTTTTAATCACATATCCAAGAAAAAAAGAATACACACTTCAAATAGGTCTGATCTGTACTTATTCAGAAATTCAAATAAAATGTTATTTTATTAAATACAAACATATATAACTAATATATTATTCAAAATCGTATTTTATCACTGTTTTTAATGGAATATAAACTAAAAAAGAAAAAGTATTTTACGTGGTTGATGACTATATAACAGAATATTCTAGAATATTCAAATGATAGATTATTATAGAATGTTTATGCATTGTATCGTACAAACTTTAGTCTTGAATACCTCGTCGACAAGCACTAGTACAAGCTATAAATATTATATATCTTCAAATATATATATACAATATGATTGTTTTAAATATAGGAACAATTATTACTGTTTTATATACAGTCAAATATGTTATAAATATATTGATAACTCGAGTATAAATTGTATGTATGCACCGAAGAAATAATATGTTGGATAACAAACTACTGATTTTACTTTTTATATTATTTTGTTTATTAACTTTCATTATTTATCTTTTGGCATTTAGAAAGTAGTGTGTCTGTTTTCGATTCTATTTTGATACATAATGGTAGACAATATGCTGATGTTGCAATATATATCAGTGTACAACAAAACATACAAAAGGTCGTTGACATCTCAACGCGGAGGCACGTGCCTCTTCCTGTTTTGATCGTCCGCCATCACAACATTGTCATTCTTGAAGTTTGTTTTTAAGATCATTATCCACATATTTTGACAAATTAACACACTGTTACATTAGACTAGTCAAAACAGTTGGTTCAAGTAATCTTATGTTATGCTTTGCTTCGCCCTTTTTCCAGGGCAAGAAGGTCTTTTGAAATGTCATGTTAGAGGTCATCCAAACAGGGAAAATATTTTGGCGGGATTTTCATTTGCTTATGTAAATGGCAGATGGATATACTTTTGGCAAAAAACTGGGTCGTTGAAACTTGAAAAGTTAATTCAAAAATATATTTGTTTCTTTAATATTGTTTTATTTTGAAATAGGACCGCCTCCGTGGTCGAGGGGTTAGAGTCAATGATTTCTAAGCCAGTAACCTCTCTGGTGTGGGTTCGATCCCCGGGAGATGCTTTGGTAGTTTAGCACGGTTGAAGGTAGTCTAGTACTGATGTAATTCTTCAGGAACGATGGTTAGGAAACTACCCGCCTATATGACTGAAATGCGTATAATGAAACTAACAAACAAACAAACACTTTTGAAAAAGGATAATTTATGCGAGAGAGGTTGTCCTAATTCAGGATTAAGCAAAAATAAAAACAAAACAAATCTTTGTTTTTTTGTTCAAGACTAAAAACTGTAAATGACGTATGTTTTAAGCAATAAATGGGAGACAGAAGCTAAGTTAAGAAGATAAACGTTGTAAAATGTTAGATATAATATTACCATATGTCCTTCCGTATTTCATATCATAAGAAACTTTACTACAGGCAGATTTGCTGTGTAAGCTATTTAAAAGAACATGCTATTTATTTCTTCAATAATGAATATGGCTATTTTATTATTTTACACTTTTGTGATCTCACAAGCCGCTACAAAAGGCTTACATTTCATCACGAGCGCGTCTACTTTTTTGCCGAGCAAAAGGTATGTGGAATTTTATTTTTTTAGTTGAAACAACAGCGCCAAAATGAGCATTTCCTGCGTGTATTTACCAAAGCCAAGTGTCGTAAAATACCGTAAAATGCTGTAATATGTCGTAAATCAGCAATTAATTGAACGTTTACACGACATT